ATATTTCAGTTTATCACTAGCTTTCCCTGATTTCTTATAGATGTTATAAAGCCTCTTCTTTTTTCTCAATAGTTTCTTGAGATCCCTAGTAATCCAAGGGGAATCATTCCATGATCCGATATTTTTTTTTGGGACTCTACTATCGAGAATTGACAATAATCCTGACTTGAAGAACTGCCAGTTACCCTCGATGCTTATATTCTCTGGGTTTCTTTTGAAGAAGTTCTTACTGAGGGTTTCTGCATCATGGTGTATATCCTCAAGATTTGCCTTAGCAAACTTGTATACTGTTCTAGGTTTCTTCTCGCTAATTTTGACTGTAAGATTCAACTCAAAGGTCACAGCGACGTGATCATTAATACCACTGATGCCATCAGAGCTCATTAAGTTGTTCACCAGATCTGGATGGCTGGTAACCACTTAGTCAAGCACTGATGCCTGCCTTGTAGGAAAAGACATAAGTTGAGTAAGAACATGATCATCAATAATATTGATGGCCTCTAATATCGATCAATAACAGTTGGAGGTTATTAAACTGCTTCATCAGAGGATGGAGAGTGCAAAATTAATGATAAGCTAGGGATCATTCATCATTTATCGCCCGAAGGGATAAGGAGCGTGGAGGTGGGGTGGTGGACTTTGGAGGGGAGACAGAGAAGGGATCAGTCGTCGCCAACAGCGTATACAAGGAGACTTTAGAAAGCTGACTGCCGATGACCTGTAGGGATAAGGGGGGTGGGGGTGGGGTGGTGGACTTTGGAGGGGAGACAGAGAAGGGATCAGTCGTCGCCAACAGCGTATACAAGGAGACTTTAGAAAGCTGACTGCCGATGACCTGTCAATGATGTGAGGGATCGTATGAATATTACGGGGCCAAACGTAGGAATTAGGTAAAAATCCTGCCAGCAGTTGGTATTTGTTTTTCCATTAAATAGGAAAAATCACCCTAAAACCGTCAACGAGATTATGTGACAATAATAAATGACGAAGGTATAACTGAAGGTCAAATAATTGCATTTTACTACAGCCTCCACCTGGAAAGATGCTATTTACGCTTGGTGGTCGCCTTTTCCAGTGGGTAGCGCCTCACCTACGAATGCGCTTCTTCTTGATATTCGATGTTTCAAAGATTCGAGAGTGCTTATTTCTCCTCTGCAGACTGGGCACAATTTTTAGAAAGAAACCAAACCTCTACCTCCATTGTTTGGTACAGCAGAGCTCTCCTCCTACTGATCTGTACGTACATACACACTACTCTGAAGTCAATCCAAATGGGCGACAATTAACTACTTTTTTCACTGAGCCCCTGACTAAGTGATCAAACATTTTCATTCAACATCTGATTGGACACACAAAACGGGTGTGGCTAAACGAGCAAGCAAATGGAGAACAAATATCGAACATAGTCTGAATTTCTGCTAAAATTATTCAGAGGTTTCACGTTAAATCGGTTTTAACTGGTTGTCTTTTCCTACCAAGGTTTGCTTTGTTCGTGTGGCTAGAATAGCGAATAAATGCTCACGAGGAGAAAATTATATCGGTTGAATGAGAGATCAAACATACGAAGTTGCTTGATTGCAACGCTGACAGAGTTAGCTAGATGGTCAAACATGCTTCTCCAACGTGATTTGGGGTAAAAAGATTTGATTGTTTAGCTAGAGCCTAAAGCCTAGTCGGTTGCACATGTTATCGAACTGACCTCATCGACATATTTTGTCAAACAAATCAGAGCATTAAGATCCAGTGTGGTGCAACTCTGTCAAAGGAATGTACAAGAGTTGTACAACTCTTCTACATTCCTTTGACACCTTTCTACTAAAAAAACACGGCAAAGAGAAAACAAGTTTCCGTGCAAATGTTGTAATCGTTGTTATATAAAGTTATAATGCAGTCCCATTTAATTTCAACTACTAATTCAAGCAGACAACGTCGATGCATCTTTGAAAATGTTAAGATTCTTACCTACCTTTGTGGCCATTGTTTGGATAAACTGTGTTTTGTTCACTGATAACAGCACACACCCTGATCAAGTCCAAGAAATTTGCACAAACACTGAAGTTGCCCTTCTCTTAAACCCTTTGAATTTGGGCAGGTGAAGGGTTTAACTTCTTTATCAGGTCTTTCGTCTTCAGTGACGTCTTATTGGCCCCAACAAATTACGGTATCAAGAATAAACTTTTCTCCACCGCAACCTTTGGTTTTGTTCAGGAAATGTACATGAGAAGAAAAAAGTTGTTTTCGGAGTAAATGAATCAAGTGTGACACCACAATGTAAGTGTCTATGCAAATAATTATGCTTCCTTCTTCGGATAAGATTTCATCAAAGATACAATGCAGACACTTTTGTTATGGTAAGCAGAAATTCAAGAAGTCAAATTCTTGATGTGCAGTTGAAGTTCAAAGTAATCCATTAAACGGATCACTTTTGTTTTTCCTGCAAACAGAAAAGGTATCACTTACAAACCTGCCTTCACGCCGTTGGACGCAAACATTGACGAAAACGCCAATGAATGATCACGTCAATGTCCGTTTAAGGACTTATTTTCAGTTGAATCATTTTGTAGAATGTGACAGCGGTTTTGAACGACTATTAATAGCTAATAAACAAAATCGACATCCAGTTAATGTACGCAGTCTAATTGATGTTGGACGTCATCAGTTGGCACAAATCCTACACACGATGACGTCTCCAATTTGGCACAAATCCTATACACGTTTATACAATGAGCAGAAATTCATGACGTCAAATTCAGGGAGCGCAGTAGGAGTAAAACAAAAAGCAGATGACACACTTGGCGAATTTGATCGCCTGCGAAAATCACCGATATCTGAAATGCCAAATATCTTTAATCTTATACAAGAGCAGATATATACACCCTTGTCACGTGTTCCTTTACAACTCCTTCATTCACGACTTGTCTTTCATTTCAAATGCAAATTACATTGGACGAATGAGAGATGCATCAGCAACCTTGAAAAGTTGGGTGAGACGTTTAAAATCAACAATGTGTCATGCTTCGCATGAAGATTTGGTGTGTGCTAGAAAGGCCAAGCGAAAAAGCCAAGCTACACTTAACAGCGAAGGTGTCAACAAAAGTAAAACGAACTGACTAGTTGGTCACCGATCTGCGGGCCATTTCTGGCTCAACGGTGATCAGGCAATATATACTAAGACAGCTCGTGAGGCGAATAAGAAAATTGCAGTCTTAAAATCATCGCGAAAAATGCTAATCAAAAAGCATTAGTTGTTAGACACCAACGTTAACGTAATTTAATCAATGAATGATCACGTCCCCGTTGATTTAAGGACTGATCTGCGCATGTGTTCCCTTCTTTTTAGAATGTGGCTCCGATTTTGAACGACTATTTTGATTAATAGCCAATTTAAAAAAAAAAACATTTCGAGCTCATAGGTGGGTTTAATTGGCGTTCGACGTCATTTGGCAGAAATGGTTCATTGCTTCTATCTCGTTTCAAGGTTCAGGTGTTCAAGTTTTATGTTTTACCTTGGTGAACAGTCAGAGAGTGTTCGAGGGAGGAGAGGGTGTGGCGGTTAGCATTACGTAGTCAACAGTAGGTTCCACGGCCGGTTGTAGTTTTAAGGGCACCAATTTTACTATTGAGGACCCCACTAAGAGAGGATATGAAGGGAAGAGACCACCCCGCTGAACGAGCTTGTTGTTGCAGAGACTAAATCCAGGGGCTTTTCCTATATTGTGCGTTTTAAATCCATGATCTTTTCCCTCAAATGTAAATTTACTTTTTTAATTACAGTTATGAATGATCCTCTGTATATGACATGGGAATATTCCGGAGTTAGACACTGATGTCCTCATGAGTGGACCCCAAGTAATGAGCTAAACATTCACTTAGCTTCCATCTTTGCAAACACTACATGTAAACTCATCCGGCAAAAGCAACTCAAATTCATCCAGTTCAACACATGTCATGGAAGTTTGAGCAACAATTTAGCTATCCGAGATAAACATAAAGTTACCTGTTTCTCTGTTTTTAATTCATCTACACCATTTTTTCAATTAATGGGTTTGCGGGCTCCCTTTCTTTTGACGAAAACGAAAATTAGCTAAATGACAAAACAATACTCAGTAAACTTCTTTAGTCAAATGGAAATATTAAAGGAATTTGTGAATACAGAAAAATCTTCTCCTCCAGCATATTTTGTGGTCTCTTCTCTGTGACTTTCAGAGTAGAATGTTATGATTAAAAATAGACTTGGGTCAATTTAAAGATTTCACTTGTAATACAGTTGTTTCAATTTTTTTATCTTTTTTTTTTTATCTACCTGACTAATTACTGTTCTTTCTGTTTCCGCAGCACTAGATCCTTTTAGGTATAAAAAGACTTTTTCTGTCAAAATTTAAATGAATTAATCAACCCTCAGGAAGTTCAGTTAAAATCTGCCTGTCGGTATTACTTAGCCATCGACCTTCCATTTGCCACAGGTCTTTGTGAACCTGACAATTTGCCTTTACCTGAGAAAATAATGTTAAATTACTTCCAGGGTGTATGGGCAGTATTTAATCTTCCTTGTCATGAGCTCTTCCCACGGTTCACACGATTTCTTTTATTAGCTTCTTGAATCCACGGAGACTCTACCGACTTACATGGCTCTCTTTTGAAAGATAAGACTTTAACTTGTTAGTTGTGGAAGCTTCGGTCGTCGTTGCCGTGCATTTTGATCCATAACCGAGCCTTCCAGTCGATCCGAATACTAAATTGACGTGCGACGAATCTCAATACAATTGTTATGCTGGGTCTCTTTAATCAATAGTTTTATCTGGGTAGCTTCAGCGGAGAGCAAGTAATACTTTATCTTTCCAGAAACATTTCCTTGCAGGAAAGATCCTTTAATTTACATAACGAGTTTGTCGTGATTTTGACGCGGCTCACTTTTCAACCATAGCCCGCAAACTTCTAAGTGTGGGTAAATAGAGAAAAGACTTATCAACTGAATTATTAAAGACCGAGTGAGGAAACGTTTTAGTTCTTCAAGCGATCCTCCTTCGGATAATATGTCACGCATTGCATTCTTGGAACAGTATTCTCCTGTGGCGAGCAAATCGATTAACAACTCTTCGAGCCTCAATGAAACTAAAGAAGGAACGCCAAATTTAAGTACAGCTGAGAGAAACTTAAAGGTCGTGTTCTACTGCTGCTTTTTTCTTCTCGGCTCTCTAGGAAATGCAATGGTCATTGTGGTATTAAAAGGAAAGCGAAAACGAACCATAAATGATTATTTCATTTTAAACTTGGCAGTAGCAGACTTAACTTTCTTGTGGCTTTCGCTTCCTTTCTATACGTACGAGCTTTTTCAGCCGTTTAACAAGAATTCATTGTACTGCAAATTGATTTGGCCAATGATGTCACTAACTCTGTCTGTCAGTATTTTCACCTTGTCTTCCATGGCAATCGAACGGTGTCGAGGGATCACAAATCCTTTGCAACCAAGAATCAAGCTGCAAGCCACATTAATTTGGATTATTCTTATATGGATCTTCGCCTTCTCTACGATTGTTCCGTTAATGATCGTGGCGCGGCCGGAAGGTGTGTTCTGTGCCGAGAATTGGCTGAAAAACTACTACCGTCAGACCTACACTGCAGTTCTCTTCGCTCTTCAATATGGCATCCCTTTGTTTGTAATCGTCATAGCCTACTTAAAAATCACTATTTGTCTAATCAAGTCTCGGTTGCCGATGCTAACGACAATCAACTCTAAAGGAGAGGTTATCAGGCACAAAACAAGAGGTGAAAATGTCCAGATAATCCGAACACTGGCTGTTATTGTAATTTTGTTCATGGCCTGCATGCTTCCAAATCAAATCGCCTGGTTGCTGTTTGACTTTGGCGGTGACTCGTACAAGGAACTGTCAGAGGCATTTTGGACCTGCGCAGAAGCGTTAATGTACTTACACGCATGTGTAAACTCAATTGTGTACGGTTCTCTTACTCGCCAGTTTCGTCGAGGATACATCCGATTCTTCCGCTACGTTTTTTGTTTCGGTAAAGCGAATGTTGATGACTCAACTGGTGTTTCTGAAAACCAAACACGAGACAGACATTCGCGACCAAAGCGAAAAGCTGGCGTACTTTATGGCTCTCTTAGATTCAGAAAATTCAGCGAAAATACTAAAACGACGCGCTTGATAGTGAATTCCTCTCCCATTATGTCCACAAGTGAAGAAAGTATCAACCGATCAGCGAGCCCATCGCCTGGCTCTTCCCCAGTCCCTGGTTCAGCTAGTATAGAGATGTTATTAAGGAGGACCCAGGCAAAGGAAACTCTGTTGACATTGTCATTTACTAACCCGGGTATTGAAACGTCTGATGACGATGGTTGCCAAGAAACAAAACTGTAATCTATAGCTTAGACTACAAGTGAACTGCTCTCCCAGCAAAAGAAGCTATAAAATGCATTTATAACCGTCTTTCAAAAAAGCTTGAGATTTCGTTAAAGCAGCAAACCAAGTAGAGATTTCCTCATCCAGGGATGATTTCTTTGAATAGCTAGCAGGAGGAAACAGGAGTTATGCAACGCCTTGATTTCCTCGGAACGTAAATCGAGTGAGATCTGAGAGTTTCGATGGTCACCTTTCGTTTCATCAATGCTAGTACTAGATAAGAACACCACCGCTTTTGAAAAGGTTAAATATAAAGACAGTCGTTAGGGAATAGAAAATTTTTTTGTTCTCTCTTTTATCAGTCAAGGCCACTGAAAGACATCCTTGACGAGACTCTCTTTCCCCTAGGTCGTTTCAATTTCTTCCATGGATGTGCAACGATAAACAACGAGAATCTTTAATCAAACTTGGAATCCCAGTATGTTTAACGGTCAGTGTTTCAAATTTTATTACAACCAAAATTATAGCGCTGCAGTTGTACAAGGTATGATCGGATATCTAGGACATAAACGTCTCACCTTACAACAAAACCCTTAGGCTCAGATAAGTAGCACTCAGTGTTTGGTAATGTATGCTCCAAAGTTAAATTACGAACAATTACAATTTGTTTCACGACCATCTCAAAGTTTGAGTTCTCCTCAAGACTTCAAATCTTATAAATAAAACATTTCTTTAAAAAAAAAAAAAACGCCTTAAAGTACAAAAATATTCTGAATAAGTCTAGATCGGTGTTTTGTTTACTTATGCTGTCAGGTTATTACACTCCAAACAGTTACAGTTTTTACCAAAGGGACCTCAAAGTTCATATTCGCGTCAAGACTACAAAGTCACGAAAAACCGAAATTTTTAAATGAGTCCAGATCCCTCGTACTCCAACCATTTTTTCAAATGACACTTTATTGGGTCTTAGGTTTTATGTCAAGGATACCACGCCAATATTCGGTCATGAACACCTGGTCAGGGTCATGCTGTTCTCGTAGCTTTAACCAATCATTCATCTTAGGGTAAACACTCTTCAGATAATCCGCATTGAATGTGGTGTTTCCACACTTTTGACCTGGCTTCGGAAGGTACTTGCCCCAGTGCAGGCGGGTTCCAGGGATATCCAGCAGAATATCCCAGAAATACGAGAAGAACATCCTGGCGTCGCCCAAGTTGTATGCCCACCAGTACGGATCGACTCGCACCATGTCTGTTTGGTATGACATGCTCAGCCAGAATGGAGAGCTCTTGGCGCCATAGATCTCGGTGGCAAAGTTGTTGGCCGCTTTTTGATTCTCAGAGAACAGCTTTTGGAGTTTGTCCATCACAGTTTGACAATGGCCAATTGGAACCCAGATCTCTGTGAAGTCCACCCTGATGATGGTGTCCACATGGGCTTCGTTGTCCATGGGCAGAGCACGATACCAAATGTCGTAAAACTTAGTCGGTTTCCCTTTCAGGGGGACAAACGGACTCAACATCAAACCGATGAGGTCGTATTCCAGCTCTGTTGGATCTTTCTTTTGCAGGATAAAATTGCAGACGGACAGGACGATGGCTGCCATACCTGCTGCTAATATGTTGGACAAGATGGAGTTGTATGGTACAAGATTTTTCTTTTTGAAGGATTGCTGACCAACCCACTCTTGGACACGCATTACCTCCTTTTGGGGAAACCAGTTCACTCGCATGTATTCGTTGTTTTCGAGACTTTGTTTGAGCTTGCTCTGCCCCTTCTCGTTTGGTCCAAGCATGGACTCAACAAACTTGTGGTTGGACTCTGACCCTTTTATATACTTCATCGGTGGAAGACGGAAAGTTACTCGAGTAATGACACCAAACAGTCCCATGGAAACACCTACCGCACACCAAAGGTCAGTTCCAGGTTTGGCCGTTTGAACTTGTGCATTGCCGTCCACGAACTCGATCTCTCGGATGACATCAGCAAAGCTATGCTCTAAGCTTCCGCCAGCAGAGCCAGTCAGGATAAAGCCACCAATGGACTGCTGGATGATTCCTCCCAGCTCAGGAAAGCCATACCCATGGGCTGCCACCTGATAGCAAGCTGAATTCTGGAGGTTTGAATGAGGGTCCAAGGGATCTTTGCCAAGATAGCAGCCTCCTCCGATACGACAATACAACCATTTCTTACCTTCTTCTACGGTTGTTTTCAGTATTTCTACCTTTCGAAGGTCATTTCTCAACACCAGCGTGATACCATCCTTGGGGAAAATGGCCGCTTTTACGGAGTGTTCCGATCCGACGACACGAAGGACTTTCTTCTCCCTCTTGGCTCTTTTGACTGCATTGATAACGTCTTCAGTCGTTGAAACCGGGGTACGATCACATTCTATAGGCACAGTGGGACCTCCGGGGATTACCGAATGTTTTGCCTGTGCATCGTTCATAAGATGCTCTATCATTGGGTCCAGCAGGTAAGATCCAGAGGAGTGGTTGAAAAATGGAGCGACGACCTTACCAAAGAATGCTTTTGCCTCACTAGCCCTATCAGCCTCTAAAGCTGAAGGAAAAAATGGAAAAAATTTCATGAGACTGTACTGCGTCATAGAACAGAAAACAATCATTAGTTGACTTATTTCTTTTCGAAATCGTATATCGGCTTTAAAATTTCCTCGTTTCTGAGTCAATGTCCAAATGAAGCTTCTTTAATTTAAACCTATATTACTTAAGTAGCCCTTATAGTAAATGAAATAGTTTAAATGTAAAAATTGTGCAAAAGCTAATTAGGGTGCCTTAAAATCTAAATGATTTTACGCGTTGATGGTCGAAATAGTGATCATGAAAGGGTAATTCGTTCGCCTTATTTCTGGGATTGCCGTGGAAGATAGTGCTACTTCCTATAATGATTTTCAACAATAATGTCTTCTCGGGTGCGACTGACGAGTAAAGTAGTTTCCTGCGAGCTCAACCATTTCCTATGACGCTTCGTTTGATTGCGCGATATTAGCACTATCTGTCGACCAATAGCAGTCAAAGGATATATTACCGCACGCTTCATCAGTGGATTTAGAGTGGATAAGTAGTTTCCCTTTTTGACTGACACTTTTTTTTTTTTCTATAAAACGGAAAAATCATTTTACAACCCTGAGGCTACGTAACAATGACAAATGATAAAGTTGTTTTTTTAAGTATAAGCGCTTAGCTGTAGAATCATCGAGATAGATAAGCTAACCTTTGTTTAAATCTACTTTTCATCTTATTCATCGACAACTTTTCCCTTGTCTATATAAATAACATACGAATGACGAGATTTGCTTCATGTTGGTGATATAAGGGAAGGGTATTCCTAAAACCATTGCGGAAAATGCTAACCAAAGTAACATTACAACTAACAATTAATCAACAAGCATATTTGAATCGGTAGAATAAACAACCTATTATACTGATTGTTTTTTTTCCCCTACGAACATGACATATATCTCTTAAACCATCTGCCCTTTAGGGCGTTAGACGCCAATATCAACGAAACCTTAAATGTATAATCACGTCCCCGTCGATTTCGAACTAATTTTCCATGGAATCTTTCTGTAAAGTGTGGCTGCACCTTAGGACGACTGTTAATAGCTATTCAACAAAATTAGAATCAGGCATATGTGTGGGCTGTAATTGAAATAAAGCGTCATTTTAAAATGAACTAATGGTACGTTAACACCGGTAACCACAATTAACAATTACGACTGAAAAGTCGATGAGTGTTTTTAGCAGGAGGAAAAGGATCTTATTATTTTACTTAAAAGATCACAATGAGGTCAACATCAAAGAGGAAAAAAGACACTTGACACCGAACAATAAATCATAGTAAACATACTTTTCAGTGAAAGCTAGAAGTGTTTTTAAAGTTTTGACTGAAAAGGGTTTACTTTCAATAACGAACCCATAAACCCATAAACCAAAAAAAAAGTGCGAAACGCATTTGGACTTGGCCCAAACTAATTCATTAATCTAACAGACTCCAAATGTCCATAGTCCGATTAACAAAGCTAAACTTGGTACTATAACTAAAGTTGTTCAATCGCTAAGACTAATTTGCTGTAGAAATCATTAAGAACTTGATCCATTTCTACCCCGATAAACATATGGTATGCAGAGTTTAAATCGGTTCAGTTTTACACAGATGCGTGACGATCGATATTGGTTTTCTGTGTCTTCAACTTTAAAAAGAAATGATTGCCAATAACAACAATTTTGCTTGAGTCATAGCTCCACTTCAGAATTCAGATATACACCAAGGTTTTAGCCTCCCATTCTTTTGTAAATAAGACAATTAATTCTAAGCTACGAAAAATGACACGAAAAAATACCCTCAGCCTGTGGAAGCAAACTCTGGGCATGTTAGAGCCGCAAAATTCATTGCATTACCAGGTCCGAAGTGTTTCACCTTAAACTGTCACATGGTAAACCCAATTCAGATTTTGATGTTTACAAGATCAAAGCATGTTGCAGGATAAGTGGAATATCTGATATGAGCAAAATATGAGGTCAAATGGCCCCAAGCGGAACGCTTGCGGACGAATCTTCTTCATGCTAATCCCTTCTCTTAAACGAAGCCAACATCTGTTAAAAGTCTCCCTGGAATTGAAATGAATTGGCACTTCAATTCAATTCCGGTCTCTTACTAATTGAGAGCACCCCTTATTTTCTGGTTAAATTTCCAATCTAGATATTTCAAGCTCCAAAGGCTGAAATAGCGCTAATTGAAGTAGGTCATAGTGTGACACTTAATTCTTGCACGCAATCCCCTAATTTTTACTTCAAAACATAAAGCTTGCACACTTGATATTTCCAAGTATGAGACCTTGATCGTTTCTCGTTTAAGGATCTTTCTTCCAACAATAGCGAATGGTCTGTTGAACGCGTTATGGAGCTGACCATAATGACATGCTATCGCGTAACTCTTTCAGCGACGAGCGATGTTCACTGCAACGGTTTCTGTTTACATTCACTTTTCTTTTTTGCAATAACAAAAATTACTTCGGTCAGCCGATGTTCCTGCTACGACTCTATGGCGCATGAAGTAGTCAGGGTCTTTTAACGAAATGCAGGAAACAGTGAAACGACGAACTTTCTTGGGTCGTAAATAAACCCTTGAATAAAGTACATGAAAAGTTCCGCCACTGAATCGATCGCGAAAGGTTACTTAGATCTGGATTGCTTATGGCTTAGTCATTCTTCTCACCTAGCTTAGCCAGGAAATTTGCCTCTGAAACGGCTTTAGAGCAGCTTTAATTACGACGATAAACTTTTCACGTGCCACACCAAATGCAGTTTTCCGGGAATTGTATCTGTTGCGCGCACTATGTTTCCCAATAAAAGAGAATTTTTCACATTGCTATCGTGGAAAAAAAAATCCTTACCCGATTCATTATGATTGGCCTCAGCCATTATCGTCTTTAGTGTACTTTTCTTGCGATGATACGAATTCAAACCAAGCTTGAGATCAACACGTGCAGTATAAGCAGCAAAGGGCTCTTAATTCTACACACCCAGCGCAAAACCTCACAATTTTCACAACTGTCATACTGTCATTGGCTGTTTTCGAAACAATAACCTTGCATTTCAACAGCAAGTTGTTTAATCCAAATGCGAAAGCGGAAGTATCAGGGAATGCAACGTATTAAGCAGCAATGATTGACAGGTCAAGATGGGATTCGCGGCCGACAGGGAACGCGAGATGTTAATTTTCCATCTTAACTTAAAAGCTCAAACAGAATTAAAACCATCTCACTCCCGGGCGTGACCAAATAATTATTAATAAGTGACCTCTTCAACATTTGAAATAAATATGATTTTCAATCCTAATAACTTGACTGGAAAAATGTAATAAATTTCTTCGCTCAAGGAAGGGATACGATCTCTAACAAAACCGATTCGCGTCACTGTTATTACTTTGGAAATTACACCAAAGGGGGCCCACACAAGCGGCCCACACAAGCGGCGTGTCTGGTCGTTTGTTCGAAATATAAAGAAATGTATGGGAGAATATTGAAGAGTCGTAATATCGTAAACTTATATCAAGGAATGTCTATTTTAAGGCTCAAAATAAATGTAAAACCTACCTCACTTGCTGTGTATTGTCGTTTCTGGGGTTCTAAATGGCGAATTAATGAGCGATTTGGTAGATTTTGCGTTGAGCGTTACTTTACTGCAAAATCTACCAAATCGCTCAAATTCGCCATTTAGAATCACAGAAACGACAATACACAGCAAGTGAGGTAGGTTTACATTTATTTTCAGCCTTAACATAGACATTCCTTGATATAAGTCTACGATATTACGACTTTTCAATATTCTCCCATACATTTCTTTATATTTCGAACCAACGACCAGACACGCCGCTTGTATGGGCCCCCTGTGATTGCACAATCCTTTAATTGATGTCTCTACTGAGACAATTCAACCTTTTGCACCCTAACATCAGTATGAATATTCTTCATACTGTTCTCTATACATTTCCTAAGGTGCTGACAAGGAGAAATTGTTTGACAATCAAGAGCTTTTTTTTTAAGTTGATGATCATTATTTTCTTGCACTCTCATGAATCTTATATTTGACCCAAGGCTGATAATATAGGTAGAAATTAGAGACCAGTCCCTCTCGCTGGTCAAAGGGTAAATGAAAGTCTTTTACCTTTCCTTTGGTGAAACTTTTGTTTTTGTCTTCAAAAGACAAAACCTATCATTTTCTATGAATAATTCCATTCATTCATTGAATTATACTCGAGCAATGCCGAGTGATTCCTACATTCTATAGATCCTAATAATGTTTTTTTTTCTTTTTGCTGAAGCCTATAAATGACAATTCCATTCTACTTTCTAAACAAAATCTTTTCAGCATGCACTTTTGAATCCATCAGTTCTGCACTGAAGACATATGGGAACCCTCGAAAACCAAATTGTCAATCTTTATGCTTATCGACAAGTATTACTTGTAATTACCTAGACTTGGCAGAAAAGCACTTATCCTAATTTAGCTGCATATGGATGCCATATGTTAACAGGATAATTAACTCTGCTTCAGAAATGATCCCACTTCTGATGAATGACTGGCTTTGGGGACTCAAACAAACATCTCCTGCCAGCTCTCTGTGGCTGCTTCTCCAGAACTTGACCTTGCTACATTGCAGTCATTAGCTGAATATTTACTTTGCAGCAGCAACCACTGTTTATAATTTGATGCACATCTCCTCTGTACCTCACTCTGGCATCTAGTAATTACATCATTACAAAACCTCAACTCAGAGGGGGTGGACAGAGGCACAAATCTGTCATTTGTCAACTCTTTAGTAACTGAGGTCCATGAATTAAAGCCAAATTTCAGCTCTCTTAACAAGTTGAACGAGGCACTTGCTAAATCAAATAGTGAAGGAATAGTTGATGAGGGAGATCTTGATGTTCTGTTACAATTTTCTGAGGAATTGTCATCACCAATCTTCAAAGAACCTGATACCTCTTGCAGTGTGCCCAAAGAGGTGCCAGCAGTACAGAACTGATTCCAAAAATAATATACAAATCTCCTGAAAAATGAACAAAGCCATGTTACAGTCATGCCAAATTTGATATTTAACAGACATCGGCAGAGTTACCCCTGAGTATGGAAAACCAATTACATTTGACTTGTTCTATAGTCATAGCAGATTAGGTTAGAGAATAACATTGTCAGACTGGACCAAAAAAAAAAAAGACAAAAAAAAAACAAAAAGCAAGTATTATAGTAAAACCAACCCTCCCAAAAATGTAATAATTATCATTACAAGCATTAAAAAGCAGGGCCCAGTTTTTCAAATGGTGGATAACAATAGCCAACAGATAAATCGCTATCCAGTGGGTAGGTGTTAACAAAAAGTTCTGCTCTATCTACCAGAAAGAGATTTCTCCAGTTGATAGTTTTATCCATCTTTCCAACAACCAGGACCAAAAGTTAAGAAAGGAGCTAATGAAGAAAGGCAACACTAATATAGGAAAAGAGAAATTTTTTTTTCAATTTATTTGTCAGAGAGCACCTTACAGCACTGTCACCAGTGAGAGTTTTTCTTTTCCCTTGAGATAGAAAATGATTTAAGATAATACTCTTGCCATCTGAACTTCCCTCTTAGCCTGAATCTCACAAGAGCTGAATGATGTCAGTTAGTATTTTTAGAGAGATTATAAGAGTGAATTTCTATTTAGGCTTATTATTTGTACCTGTGATACCAAACAACCTCATGCCCTGGGAAGGTCAAAATAAGATCACTGGTAAATTCCAACTCTGATAGCAGCAAATGAATAACTTCACTGTTTGAACTGCAGAAAATAAAATGACATCTGTTGACAAGATAGCATGGAATGTTTTCAATTACCTTTGACAAATACCTTGAAAATAGTGTTCATAATTGACTACAAAATAACTGAACAATTAACTTAAGGGAAACAAAAAAATTATACTACTGGGACATACCTGTAGTAAAAACCATTGGAAATAAGTAATTTTTTAAAATTTTCCATCATGAATCACTCTAATTTATGACAATCATTCAAATACAGTCTTTTCATCAGATATTACAACTGCTTACTTACCATACATTCTTGAGATATTTCAGTAACACTTGTTTATGATGGAAGCCACAATTGTCAGATATATGCCTTTCTGTCCACTTTCTCATAACTTGAAGTTCACAAAACAATCTCTTCAAAGACAAAATTGCACAAAAAAGGCAAAATTAATATCCATCTCCTAAATCAGTATATGAAGCCCAGATCAACTGCTGTTTTGTTTTGGTAAATCCCCTCACATCCCTGATCTTTAATGACTGTTTTAGCTAAGACTACCAAATGACAAAGCACACTTAAAAAAATACAATAGTCAATTAATATACAATCTATACTGTAATTATAGGAAATACTAATTTTTTTAGACTAAAAAACTTACTTTTTTCATGTCTTTCATGAATCTCTCCACCAGCCATGATCTGTGACTCCATGCAGTGTAGTTATCAGCATAACTCTCAGCAGCTCGTAGGGAGATGGCAAGTTCACTTCTCAAACAACAATGAACAAATTCATTCTGGCCTTTATGTTTTTCAAGTTGTCCTATTGTCCACCTCCTTGGGGGATTCAGAAACATTGTCATGATGTCATGTTTCTTGTGTGTGCCGGCACAATTTGAAAACATTTCACACTCAAAGCTTTCACAATACCCACAAAGTTATTTCAAGTACAAGTAACAAAATAATGTCGGGGTCAAATTGCCAAATATATATTTGGGACTTACCTATCTCTTCCCCCTTGAGCCCAAGAAAACAGAAAAAAAAAAGGTCTTAATTGTCATGAGCTAGACCACCTGGTCGAGGTAGCTCATGTTTAGATGAGAGAATGTAAAAGTGAAAAAAGTTCTCTATTGCTTAATCATAAATTATCAATATCACTTCTGTGGTACCTGTGAGCAAATGTCTCAGCACTCCTCGGGTGTTTTGAAAGAACAAGAGCTGAAAACTTGATGTCATCTTCCAGACTTAAAATTCCTGCAGATATCAGTTCCTTTCTGGTTAAAGTAAAGAGAATTCGGTATCAGATCAAACAGAATCGTGCAATGGAGAGAAATTCCTCTAAGGCCTGTCCTGAGAGTAAAATGGTAAACAATCAAGAGGGCCTGGTCTAAGCTCTCCACCAGGATAATTGTGTTGTGTTTTTGGGAAAGACATGTAGCTTTCCCCTCTCTACCCAGGAGTGCAAGTACAGCTGTAGGTATCAACAGAATGTATGACAAACCTGATAACTTACTGGAGCGGGTAACTTTAGCACTCTATCTAAATCAGGGTAGGGTTAAGTCTTAATACATACATACATACATACATACATACATACATACTTAATTGACTTTCCCCAAAGGAGGCTTTTCAAAGACAATATACAAGAGTTACTAATCACAAATAAGAATAACAATGACTGAAATACGATCCTAAGACTCATAACATCTGCTAAGGTTCTAAAAATTATAAAAATATAGACTGAAATAGAAAATTACATTTCTTTGAGTAGTTTGGTTTTCAGGAGATTTTTGAAGACTGACTGAATTGCACAATTTAAGAGAGTGACCTAAAGAATTCCATAAGCCCAGAAACGCATGCTGGTGGAGCCTATCCAAGTTTTTGGACCAAGCATATTTCCACTCTTCTTGTATGGGATTGTCACCCTTCTCCCACTACCCAGCATTCTGCTAAGTTCTCCTAAGGGTTTGCTAGTTATCATTTATATATGCTTAAGGTTTTATGCTACAGAAACTGGGTTCAGATATGGCAGTATACAGCAATCAGGCCTAAGAGACACAACCACTTGAAACAGGTTACAATCCTGGGCCGTCCCTCTGAGGCACCTCTTTACCTTAATTTACCTTATGTTCCACACTGTGTAACATTCAGCATTCACTAACAAGACAGCTCTACTAAGTTGAACAGTCTCTGTCACTGGAAATTCAAATGAAACAGAACATGGGTATGAATAAATCTGATTTCAGTGCAAAAAAAAAATTGAAGGACTTAAAAAAATAAATAAATAAATAACAGATACCTGAAAGACTATAATCCCTCTTTCTTTCCCTACGTCTCCCCAAGAGTTTTTCATAAGCAAACAAGAAAAGAGGCCTCAAGCAACTTGATTTGATACCAAGTTTATGATTTACTAAGACGATGGGATTTTCTGTTTCCTTGTTCTGCTTCCCATAGCAGTCCAGACAAGGTATCACATCGACTTCATCACTGAAAGACAAGATTTTTTTGAGAACCAAAATAAACTATTGGTAAAACACTATATAATACTCATATAAATATGTTTAAAAAACAAGAGTGAGTCAATTTTTCTGTTATACTATTCCCTACAATTTAAATCGGAGGAAGAAATGGGAAAATTGTCTAACTGTTACTTTTCAAAACACATATACTTATTTGTAAAGTCTACTGGTTATTGAGCCAATGCAACAAAATTTGGGTGAGTTTTTTTAACAGATTAATCTTAAAAGCTTCTCTCAGAAACCAAAAGAAAATAAAACAAGCGTTGTTTTGTATTCTTTAATTAAAAAGATGACCTTCGTACAATCGAATGAAATTTTAATTCCGTAACATGGAAGCACGAGAATATTATTCATGAAACAAAGAACTAAGGTACAAAATAAAAATATTGAGGTGTAACAGATGATGAAAATCAAAAAAATATCCAACTTACATTTCGGGGTCTGTAATAAACGCCTCATTTAGACAGCAGAAGTACTTTTTACCAAGTTCAGTGCAACAGGTAGCCGCCATCTTTGTTTTCTTCTAATTAGTAACCACCCTTAGCTATGTAGCCTGGCTTGTCAATGAAATCCATCATGGCGGACGGATCACGCTTTCCGTCATCAAACTTTCACCCTCATAATATTCGCATTCCGGCGCCATTCACCAATGAAATTTCTTTTTCACAAGCGAATCGTCCGGGTCTACCTCAAAGTCCATTTTTCCCGCAATCGCACCAGTCTACAAGCAATTCAGTTCACGGACATGTTTCACAGAAATTTCCAGTGAATCCAGGTCACAACATGGCTTATCACAATGTACAGAGATTTTCAAAGCCTCCGCTCCAGCAAAATCACGGAAACCTGCGACAAGGAAAGCAACCAATGGGCGTGAATATACCGGAGATGCAGCGACAATCCTTTCCAGCCGGCCAGTTCACCACCGACAAACAAAGGCATGTACAAAATTCGAGCCCAAACTCTCATTATGAACCATTTTCTGGCCATGGACAAATACAGCTTCGTCCAAACAGTTCTCAGACTAATATGAACAATAATATAGCACATCATCCTTCATCGTTCTCTGCTGGAGCCCTGCAAATTTCAAACCTGAATTCATTACCAGCTGCAAACAAGGTTTCAATACCACATGAAAATTCTTCTTTCAGTTCCTTTACTGAATCATCGTCAGGGCCCTTTCCACAGCCTATCTCTGGGTCACACGTGCCAGCGCCTATCCAATTTCCCCCATCATTACCAACTAGCAGCCCAGCAATGCAACTAACAGCACTTCCATCATTGCCAAACAGCAGCCCAGCAATACACCTACTAGCACCTCCATCATTGCCAAACCAAACCCCTTCGTTACACATGGCAGCACCTGTACTTCCAGTCGGTCAACCTACTGCCAGGGTCCAAGAATTCTCAAGCCAGGACAAGATAAATACATTTTTAAAAGAGAGAGGAATTAGTAAGCAAGACAAGCAACAAACAATAAAGAGTAACTTGAAGGTATAGAACGAATGTCAGACAACTTGCCCCCTGGACAATTAGCCCCAGACAATTGGCCCCCGATCTTCAGACAACTGGCCCCCAATAGGGAAACACTTATGTTACATTAAACAAATATATTTTTATGCTTATAAAGTAATAATTTCGTGAAAGAAAAGGAAAGTTTGTTTTTTAAAGTACAGAGTGCTTCAAAACAAAAAAACAAACAGTTAGATCTGTTTCAGTTCAGGAACTTAAAATATTATGGTTAGATTACAAAATGGTCAAGCTCATGTGTTTACGCGATCATGAAAATCGATCGTTACAAACGTCAGTCTCGTAACGTACTTTAAAAAACAAACTTTCTTCTTCTTTCAAGAAATCATTACTTTATGGGCATAAAAATATATTTTTCCAACGTAATATAGGTGTTTTCATATTGGGGGCTAGTTGTCTGAAGATCGGGGGTGAGTCGTCTGGGGCTAATTGTCTAAGAGGCAAGTTGTCCGGATACCTATAGTACATATCTTCATCCTCCCTGTTACCTAAGAGTATTTATGTTGTGGCTGAAAATGTATTTTACATTTGCTTTTGTATGCAAAACAAAAGAAAAAAAATCAGCTTAACCCCCTCACCTATCTCTTTTGTCTAGTAGCTAAAGTCTTAATAATAATAATTTAAACATATTTATACAGGATTGCTGCTTCAGTTTAGGAAAGAAAACTGCTATCAATGCAGTCTTACCAATAGGTAGTTCTAAGTACATTGCTGGTTAGTAGTTAGTCCAAGAAAGACCAATTTGTGTTTTTTTCTTGAACATTCCAATGATAATTCATTGTTACTAGCTTATCAATGTAGCTTTTGAGCTCAAATACTGATGTGGTTTATTCAACAGTTACATACAGCTAAAGATCTTATGGTAGAATGGTTGCAGCTGATATCTGAGTTGTCTCTCCAAAGGGACAAATTAGCTGAACTTGCCTCAAGTCAAAATGAACTTGAATGGAAGCAGGAACTAGACAAGGCTCAAGTCTTAAAGGTCAGTAGATGTTTTTACCATGTCCTTATGCTTCTTTTCAAAAGCTCAAATAAAACCAGTCCTACCTACATTAGAGGTAAAGTAAAGTCTGTTTACGAGCCTAGTGGCCCATCAGGTCGGTGCTTAACTCCGGTGTCTGTAGCATGAAGCAACTAGGAGTATTTCTACTCCCCCCTGGATGGGATGCCAGTCCATCGCAGGGTTACCCCCTCCAGCATTAAATTGCCGGTACCCATTTATACACCTGGGTGAAGAGAGGCACTGTGAGAGTAAAGTGTCTTGCCTAGGAACACAACCTACATTAGAGACTTCCTTTTATCCCTTTACATTTGTTTAACCCCCTTTTCCTTTTAGGCAAGGATTGAGCAAATCCAAGCTTTATTTTCCTTTCCTGAAGAAATAAAAAAGCTGGAGGAACAAGTTCTGAAAAGGAAAAAGAAGAGGGTGAGAACTGGAAATTTTCTTGCATGGTATCACATAAGCAGCTTTTAGAGTAAATTTAGTACCAACAACAAAGTGATTGAACTGTTTTCAACAGATTGATGGCCAAGATCAACTAATGGTTGGTGTTTGGCTTTGATTTGTACTCATAGGCATATAATTAATTGATACTTGATAATTAATCTTTTCCAGTTATTAATTATTGATCAATTAATGATTAACCCTTTTGTCCTTAGATCTTTCTAGTAATTCTCATAACTGTCTTTCATACAATTCTTATGATGTTAGTGCAGAGAATTTGGTATTGGATCGACTTATAATTCCCTAATTAGGAGAAATTCTGTCTTGGTCAATTGTGGGAATTAAAGGGTTAGGAATTTCTTAATTATTTTTTAAAATGACATCTTTGACAGAATTCAACTTTATGTTTCATAAGGAATGGCAGAAGAGGAGAAGAGAGGAAGAATATTCACAAAGGCAGGAATCAGAAGAGAGAAAGAAGAAGCACCATAAGAAAATTGATGCATGGAGGTCACAAATTATGGCAAAGGATGAGGCAAAGCGAAGGGTAATTTTCGTTTCACCAAAGCCCACACAACTCTGGTCAGGGCTTTAAAAATGCCCTGATTACCAAAAATCTACTACCCTTTATAAGACCTCTTACTGCCATCTGTTAAGCCTGTGTGCACATGCCCAGAATGTGGGAAGTTAACATAACTTTCCTTGATTTTAGATTTCAGTTTTTTTTCTAAGGGGAGAGGCATGCCCCAGAGGCCCAGAACCTCCCTACTCCTAATTGGAATGAGGCCTTACAGCCCCCTGTCTGTGCACAGCCAACTATGGCTGGGTAAAATTTAAAATCAAATTTTATTCCTAACGGGCTATGACTTCACTTATCTTCCTCTCCAATCGGAGTAAGTTGTTTACTGAAAACTGAATTTTTTCTGAATTATTTTGAAAACGTACAACAGTGGTTAGATTTGGAAACACTGCCTGTGTGTGTGTGTGTGTGTGTGTGTGTGTGTGTGTGTGTGTGTGTGTGTGTGAAGAAGTGTTTATACAGAACTTTAGTTCAAGGAGAGTGGGGTTGATTGTTTACAAATTCCTAATCTTTGTTTTTTTGTTTTTTTTTTTGTCACATGTAAACAGGCTGAATCAATGAAGCATGAAGCTGGTGGAGTACTCGGAGAAGTCAAACGAAAACAAACTGAAGCAACTAAAGCTGTTGATCTGTTAAGAGCTTTAAGAAAACTTCGAGAAGCCAGAAAACAAGAGGCTGAAGTTAAAGGTACCAGAGCATCAAGAACAACAACATTAACTTATATTTTTTAACAGAAAATGAAACAAGATAGATACAAGAAGGGAATGTTAGAGGGTTAATTTGTTTATTTTCTCGTTGTTGAAGGGGTTTACCTCAAACCCACGGAGGAACAGAACAGAAGGTTTGACGAGAGAGTGAAGTGGGTAGAGAACGTCATGGTGAGGAGAAGAGAACTGTACGAAGCTGAAGAAAAGACTTTACAAGTCATGTTAGCCGAGGAGGAGGAGGAGAAGGAAAAGGAGCGACGAGAAATGGAAAGAAAAAAGCAAGGTATAGTTATCTATGTTTCTTTGGGTAAAGAAGACTGCAAAGCACTTGTTGAAACGCATAAACACACGAATAACTTGAATGAACGACAAAGTAAACGGTCGATACAACTACTGCCTCTCGTTTTTTGCGTTTCGAGTGTAACTCACTGGATTCAGACTTGCGAATACGCATGCGCCATATTAGATATGTATCACAACGATCTAATGAGAACTCGAAGGGAAAATGCGCTGTTGGTTCTAGTTTTGCATCTGATCGGTTAACGCTGGTTTTCTTGACAAATCACATAGCACAGCAAACTGCAAAGCTGATGCACTAACGTGTTTCTCTCGAAGTTTTGCTCGTGGCACACGTTGCTTTATGTACTTTGAAAGAATTTCGAACTTGAGAGGCTTAAATCTTTTCAGAAACTACACGTACTTGTCTGAGCTCTTAGGGCGAATTACAATTGTCTTCCTGTTTTGAAAACTACCAGCTGTGGGGTATCATACTGCTGCAACTGAATTACACACTGATAGATTGTAATGCTAAGCTTCTTTCTTTTCTCTCTCAGAATCTTTAGGTTTGTCAGATCCAATGGACTGGTTCCACACCTACTACAATCAAGCTGAGAGTAATCTTCAATCCTTGTTACAAATAAGGTATGCAGTCTGACGAAGGGCTAACGCTCGAAAAATCAGCCCTAGAAACTCCTTACGGTGACCAAGTTGCATTATCAACACAGTTGATAAAACCAAGTTATCTTGTTATACCACCACCGACGTAGCAACACAGTTTCTTGAGAAATTTGCCCCCTTTATTTATAACTAGTTATTCGTTCGGTGATCATTATGCCTTCGGTAACTTTTCGAGAGGCACGGAGGCTTTCCTTAAGATCTAAGAAAGCGTCAATGGTTTGGAATCATCTTCTTCTAATAAGGTTGTCGAAACGTTGGTCATTACTACTGGCCATGGCGTAGTAGTCCTTCTTACGACTATCACCTGGTAGATGATACAACACCATTTAATATTACTCCTGGGTTCAATCGAACAATTCACTGAAAAACTTGAAAAATTCACATGCACGCGCTCCTGAGAGCTTAAGTTTGAACTTATTCCTGTTTTAATTTCAAAATACTCTCCTTTCCCAGGAAAATTGGAGTTGAGCTAATATCGGGTTGGTTCTTTTCTCTCACCTAGGCGGCAATGGGATGCGTTCCTGGTACTCGAGACGTTTCCAGGGGCATCTCGTATCCCCGACGGATGTGTAACCCCCACTGAGCCCTCGTCTGAGTTGTGGGCTACGGCACTTATCGACAAGGGCTAGTTGATTTTATAGCTCTGAAACTTTCGCAGTAAATTATAGAAATTCCGTCTCTGTAAGGGCATTGTTATATTCTTTTTTCGCCTGCGAATAACTTATCAATAAAATTACTCTGTTTATTCTGTCGTTTTGTTCTGAAAACTGAAGAAAAGCTTATTTTAAAATCTCCCTATTTGAAATCTTGCAACATCTCAAATTCCCTCCTTACTAGAGAAAAACCAGCCTGGATTACCAAGGTGGTTCCACGGCTTTGTTCATTGTTCAGAATAAATAGCCTATATATTGTCTTGAGTTCTTTAGGATTTCTGTGTTTCCTCGAACAAACAGGCTGCCTTAAATGAAAGCAGTAATTAGAAGAGTTCGCACCCTTTCTCTAATTACATGATTATTATTCTGGTAAGATAATTATTTAGCAAACGATACGTATTAAAATTCAAACTATCTTGGGTTTTTTTGGAGAACTATTCTTTCGAACGACTCATGCGGAATAGAAGGTTAATATTTCGATAACCTACTCTTGTGTACGTTAAAACTCTTGATTTAATTTGGTGGTCGTATCCCTAGATTTGTCGAAGTCTCCCTAGGAATCTTTTCGATCACGGAAAAAAATCTTTAAAATTGGAATGTCTCATTTGAATTGGAATTCAACATTTAGTAATAAATTGCTAACAAATCAAATCAATCAATCAATTTTATTATGTGCATACATAAAAGAAGCGTCGGAGGTTAATGATCTCTATCGAGGACGCTTCCTACATAAAATATATAATTATACTACACCGTAATATTTAAGAGTCATTAAGAAAGAGGTAAAAAAAAAATATATATATATATATATATACATATTTTACGAAATTTTACAATACTTTATAAGTTTACTACGAAAAATATTATAATCCTGTTCGTGCACTCTCTTTAGGAAGAGCATTCCACCGTTTCACAACTCTAACAAAGAATGAGTGCAAAAAACAATTTACTCTAGCTAATTGCTGTCTTAATTTAAATGAATGGTTTGACCTTTTTTTTCTATAACTATTAAATTCAAAATAATCATTACAGTTCAGGCCATTAAGACCATGAATAGTCTTGTAGCACTCTAGCAAGGATAGATAGGATCTCCTTGATTGAAGACTGGACCACCCAAGCATTGAATTATGAGTCACGATTGTATAGAAGAGCGGGTAGACCTTTTTCAGAAAGTCAGAACATGAAGATTATTTTTGCAGTGATGAAATTGGTGTCATAAAGTAAACAGATTATAGTCGTCAGGTGTAATCGGCCCTCACTGCAGCTCGCCAATGTCTCGTGTGTTTAGAGTTTGCACGTTTTGTATACATTGTCCCCAACAGAAACCATTCAGAACAATCAGTCCTTATTCTACAGCTTGGACATAGTACAAGGTCAAATGTATCGCAGCTTTCTAGGTCAAGGATGCTTCCCAAATCCTTCTTGAAAACACCCACAATTCTGAGAGAATCATTTTCTTCTACAGCGACTTGTTTCACTTCGATATCCGGTCCGTTTATGGAGTTTATGGTAACCGAGTTCGCTCGTCTTAGAGACAGCATTTCGCGACGAGAAAACGGAGAACCCTCGCGCAGACTTCGTCTTCTCTCTTGAAACTCAACATTTGCTGTTAGATCTCGTTCATGTTGGACACTAGCATTGTATGTATTCGCCTCTCTTTGTAACGTGACGAGCAAACAGTAACTTCTTGTGAAGCCCCTCTCTTCCGAAGTGTAAAACTTTGGTGCTAAATGAACTCGAACAACTCTGCCTAAAGGAAGAAGTGTAGGCTGTAGTTCGCTATCTCTTGATGTCGAGTTCTCTTCAGAGTCCGTTTGTTTCTCTTTTGAATATGCCAGCCCCATCTCCACAAATCATGCGAAGTACTTTCGCAATTGGTGTTTGTCAGTTCCGAATGAATGACTCAGCAAGAGTACCTTTCACTGATCAGATAACATTATAATCTTCACCTTAATTGATTCACTTGAAGGATTCTTCGACATCCGGCGTTTCCCTTGCTACATCTTAACCTTCTCTTATTTGATCTGATCACAAGAATCTTTCAAAGAGTTGTCCTCTTAACATAAGCACATTAGAAACAAAGGCACGGGGAATACTTAACTTAAAAGCTATTGAGTCCGCCTGCTATATAACTGATATTGATATTAACACACTTCGCCAGAATCAAGGATACCCCTATTCTCAGGACGGAAAAGGCTAGAAATTATTGAATTGTTTGAGAAGGTTCTTGTTTAAAGGTTACCGACCTACTAAGTTCACAAAAGATGAAGTAAACAAACAAGAGCGACCGAGCGGTCACTTAATTTACTTTTAAAAAATGTTGATTGTGACGCAAGGCGTCAACGAACAATAGTAATTAAAAATAATTGTCGAAGACAAAGAAAAACTGCCAGTAAGGCTACTAGATTTCGTAAATGAATAGGTTTCTAAAGATAATACCTTTTCCTTGGTCGTAAAATTCTAAGAAAGTATAAAAAGGAAAGATAACATTTTCTGAGTGAGGATTCTGTTTCCAAGTTACTTCACCAGCAGCACGCAATGACCATAGGCACATACTGAGGGAGAATATATGAAGTCATTATCGCACATCCAAAATGGCGGCCGCCGAGTTACGTGCTGCGGGACTAATCATCTTTCGTCGGAGAAATTTTAAAGGGCCTTTTGAATATCTCCTACTACAGACATCTTATGGACGACATCACTGGACACCTCCAAAGGGTCACGTCGACCCAGGGGAGTCGGACATGCAGACAGCTCTTCGTGAAACTGAGGAAGAATCCGGGTTAAAGGAAACTAGTTTGGACGTGATGGAAAACATAGAGAAGACTCTGAATTACGAGGTTCGAGGAAAACCCAAGACTGTTATTTACTGGCCTGCTGAAGTGAAAGATTATTATGTTCGAATAAAGCTTTCTGACGAACATCAGGATTTTAAATGGCTGGCCATTGAAAAAGCGTGTGAATTGTTACATGACACAACTGGGGAAGCTCTGCGCGAGGTGGACCAAGAAATACGAAACATGACGGACTTTTACACTGATACCTACTGAAAATGGATAGCTTATTTCCTGAATAATCACGGCTCCTGTCAACCTCGTACGTAAATTCCATAATCTCACTTTCCAACCAATTGGTTCGAAAATGTAGGAAGCTTCATTTGAAGATGCATTGCCAAAGAAATTATTTAGTTAAGGCTGAAATCAGTTTTCTTTTAAAGCACAATAATTTATTACTAAGACTTTTCTGTATACAACTTAATATGGAAATGAGCACTAAAAATGCATTTACTTACTGTGAAACTCTGAAAGCTGTGAACATATATTGTGTTTTAAGCCATTTTGCAGTTGTGTACTTAGTTGTCAAACCTGTGATTTGGAGTGAGGCTGAAGGTGACCTTGTTGTGATAGAGACCAGTATCTAGTTAGCATGATAACAAAGTAATCTACATCTATAAAAAGCAATGTTTGTATCGTAACAAGGTCACCCTTAGCCTCACTCCTGTTCAAAGGCTTGGTAATCAAGCATACCAGTGCCTCTGTGATTTTGAGGTTTGCTCAGGCTTCCTAATCTTTACTATGATTGGCCAGTATGTACACTATTGACCTGTGAAAGTGTTCACAGTTTGCTGAGTTTCAGAGTAACTAAAATTGTAATAAAACATTACAACATCACACTGCTTTCACTTCCACAGTCATTCAGCAAGACAGGTTGACACTTTCTCTTGTAAGTTTTCAATAGAAGCTACCTTCCTCTTAAGAATTTCATTCAGTTGGCTTGTATAGTCTTTAAAATTCTATATTAAAAGGGAAAAGACTTTTTTAAGGCTATAGTTCTCCATTATGTTAAAGTACAATCATTGTTAAGTTCCACTCTAACTCATAAGTTATCAATTTGTATGTAGATGGAAGAGCTACGAATCTTTGTCAGTCGAAAACCTTGACTGGTTATTTATCACCTTAAAATGCACAACGCTCCTCCTCACAAAGAGGTGATTTACACGGGTCTGAAATACGACGTGGTCATCAAGGACAAGCATAAATGCCCATGACCAAAACACACAGCAGCAAGAGATCCATACTACATCAGATTGCCACAGGATTATTGGCTGACAACCAACCAATTACAATGGAACATCATGCTTCACAAGGTGACATGTAACCCAGCCGACCTGATTTGCAACATGTAGTTACATCATGTAAATCTAATGTGACTACAACATGACACAGACAAAGCATTTAAAAAGCTTGCATAACTAGGCTTTCAATTGAGTACAAAAGTGCACAAGACAGGGGCCATTTTATAATTAGAGATAATATACAAAAATAGGCATTGAAAAATAGGCATAAATATTTAGATACCTTTGTTCCACTGTTAATTTGTTTTAAAAGCACCATTTCTTCTTGGCAGAATCCTGTAACCGTAGCAAGTTGTGTGTGATGAGAAGCGACCAACTGTTCTTGATCAAGGCTTAGACGAAATCCATTTTGGTTGACAAATGAGTGAACCACATCCCTTAAAAAAAAAAAAATGCCACTGAATAAACCTTGACACCAAAACAAAAGTTTGCATCTAGTAAATAACTTATTAAAAAGTAATCAAAGATTGCCAATGCATGTTTGATAAATGCATCGTAAATACCTTTAACTTTTTACTCTCAGAAGTGATTAACATGTAACTTCTCCCTATAATAGCCATACATTATAAAGCAGACAGGTAATGAGAATACTCAAAATTATCAGGGAGAAGTTATTTTAATCTAATGCCAAATTCTTGTTCCCAATTTAAAAGGAAATGATTGGCATGCAGCTAGAGAGAAGAATTCACAATCAGTTCTGGAGAGTGAATGAATTGGTCAGTTTATAAATATACATAAATAATTTATTTAAAGTCAATGTAGGAAGTGGTTGCCCAATCTTCTGAGCCAGTGGCTCATGTTAAAAACACTGAACTCCAGATCGAATTGGAATTTGGAATGTTAGTTTTTGTGGAGGGAGGAAAACCAGAGGACCTGGAGAAAAATTCTCAGAGCAAGGAAGAGAACCATCAACAAACTCAACCCACATGTGATTCCAGGTCTGGGAATCAAACCCAGGCCAAAGTGGTGGAAGGTGAATGCTCTCACCACTGCACCATCCCCGCTCCCCAAATGTGTTAATCAGTAAGCAAGTCCATCACTGCATCATTTAGCCCAAGTCTTTCAGTCAGTGAATGAACCAGCTAGTGAGTCAGTCCATCAGTCAGCCAGTCAGTTGGTCTGTCACACGGCCTAACCAAACAGTATGAGCAAGTCTGTCTCTTGACCAGAAAACAAATATTTTTGTATCTCCTTCAGTTAGTTAATATCAAGTTCTCATAGACCCAGACTGTTACAAAATCTACCAACCATTTTGGTGAAAGTAACAAGCCGTGATGCACTTAATGAACAAATGTGTAAAATAATCATCGCATATAATTTGGGAAATTGCAATCTAGTACATATCAAATTTACTTGAAAGTATTGTTAGTAAATAAATATGAATACCTTGAATCACTTTCACTGATTTCTTGAGGTGGGTAGGGAGCATTTCGTTGAACCTGTTTTTTCTGTGATTCAATTACTTTCTTGCCCTCCTCATTACACACATTTCCTCTACTAAAGAGCTTTGTTGGGCTGACTTTTATTCCACTGCCATAGCGATTGTTTCTGGATGGTGGGGAAGACTCTTTTCCTTGCACGTCGGCATGAAATGATCTGACAGTAGTTTCAACCTTTCCAGAACTCTGTCTACCAAAGGGAGATGGCCAAGCTTCCTCTGATATGTTATCAAATCCCAGTCTTGACTCTCTCAGAACCAGTATGTCTGATGTGCTCTGTTCTTTACTTCTTTCCAAAACAACATCCTCAAGTTTTTCTTCAGATGTTTCTTCCAAGCAGTTAGATCTGATCTGAGTGTCACTGCAAGACTTCCCTTTTGAACTTGAGGCTCTTGACCTCAGATGAGGTCTGATTTTTGCTGATTGATCCTTCATGGTAGCAGTTTCTGGAGAAGTATGTGGCCGTGTCACTAAAGATGGTTCATTCCTCACGAGCCTCCTCTTGACATTCACAGCCACCACACTTCCATTCGGATTTCCTCTGTGGTTCACTTCCACTACTGAATCTTTAATTCTAGGAGATGATGTTGTTGTACATGAAGTCTTTGGTTGTAAAACATCAAGGTTTCTTGGGGTACCTCGAGTTGATGTATCACCTCCCTTTGTAGACTGGAAACAAACAAATACACACTGAATATCTAATTCCAAGAAAATTACTCTAAAGGATTAGATACAACAAATGAAATCATGCTGAGAAGCTAAAAAAAAACTTGAAAAAATTCCTTGAAAGTGATAAAACAGTCAGGAGTATCAAAGGACAGTTTCCATAAGGTAATTTTCACCCTTTGAGCCTTTCAAGGCTGTGGTCTAGCAATGCGTGGTGGCCCCTGGCACCTTACTTTTGCTCGTGGGCAACTCAGGAATTTTGGTTTTTTTCATACAAAGCATATGCTGGGCACCCTGGATTTCACAGTTTCAGAGCACTGGGCTCCATTCAATTTTCCTTAGAGCACAGCCTTGCCCTTAGGGTGACTAGCATCTAATTTGCCATTACAATATCATCCCTAAATCATACATTAAGGTCATGAGAGTAAAGGAAATGATCACAACTAAAGAATCTCATTACTGTTTTAGAAATTCTCTTTGTCAGCATCTTAAGAAATGTATGGAGAACAATATGAAGAAAATGCATTCTGATGTTCAGGTGTAACCTTTAATAATTATTTATCAATTAATGTGGATGTACAAAAGATATCAACTACATTGACTGCTAAAACAAGTGGTTATGATACAGCAGTTGGTAAGTTTAAAATGTAAGATATACCAATTATATCAATGACATTCAGATTTACCTGAGGTTTGACATCCATTCTGGGTAGCCCTTCACTTGTCCCATTAGAAGGCAACAGGCTATTTGTCCCAGGAGTGGCTGTAGAAATAGTCAGCAGCTGAGAGCTGGGAGCCCCTGGTGTGTCCTTTTTTAATTCTTTCACCCTGAACATGCAGATGAAGTAATAAAAAAAATCATATAACTATATTTTTCTTCTACAGATCTAATGAAAGATTGAAAACTTACCGAGTATTATTGCACTGTTTAAACACATGTATACAATCATTCTCCAAGTAACTTATTTACAGTAAATTATATTAAGATCTTTTCAGCAATTTGGAACATTAAATGTACAAATTTATCGACTGAAGGAAATAAACAGCCTTACCTGTCAGCATATCTGAGAGTATTAAGGGTGTTTTCACTACAGGACTTCGTGGGTGAAATATTGGCAATCATACATGTTTGGCAGTTTCCAACAAATGAATCCTTCAACACCTTCATTTCATAAAAAATACAGCATAATTAATAACTATGATACTCACTGCTTGAGATACATTATGGATGTCTAAACTTTTTTTACAAAAGGAATTCCCCAAGAGTTGGTTGGTAGATAATCAACAGTGTGAGTAACCTAGCTGAACTGCTCAGAGTGGTGAGTTTGAATGGGTCCATAAGCTTCCCAACATTACATCTTATCTCTTTGATCCCTTAAGAGTGACCAGCATCTATTAATTTCTCCTTACAATATCACCCCTGAATCACACAGTAAGGTCACGAGAATAACGTAAATGATCAACAACGAGAGAAGCTCTTGTTTTTTAAACATACTCTCCTTGTCAGCACCTTAGGAAATGTATAGAGAACAGTATGGAGAATATGCATACTGATGTTAGGGTGTAAAGATCCTTAGGTAATGTATAGAGAACAGTATGGAGAATATGCATACTGATGTTAGGGTGTAAAGATCCTTAGGTAATGTATAGAAAACAGTATGGAGAATATGCATACTGATGTTAGGGTGTAAAGATCCTTAGGTAATGTAAAGAGAACAGTATGGAGAATATGCATACTGATGTTAGGGTGTAAAGATCCTTAGGTAATGTATAGAAAACAGTATGGAGAATATGCATACTGATGTTAGGGTGTAAAGATCCTTAGGTAATGTATAGAAAACAGTATGGAGAATATGCATACTGATGTTAGGGTGTAAAGATCCTTAGGTAATGTATAGAAAACAGTATGGAGAATATGCATACTGATGTTAGGGTGTAAAGATCCTTAGNAACAATAACTTTGAGGCTGCTCCTCCCCTGCTTCTCATTCCAGGCACTGGTAACAAGCCACAACAATTTTCTTTAAAAACTTTGTTACAATTTATTAAAACTTTTAAAAAACAATGCGATTATATTGATTTACTATTTAAAGAATAAAGATTTAATGTCTCAGAAAACTAATTAAAATCCATCAAAATCTTCCTCATCGCTATGTCCAAATAGTTCATTCCATTGATTTTCAGTTAGTCTGTCATCATACATATCTTCCTCGTCGTTCATCTCTGGTTCGTCTTCTTCCTCGGCCGGCTCATCCCAAATAAGGTCATCTTCTGTACCATCCATTGCATTAGAAATAGCACATTTCTTGAATGAGTACTGCACCATATTGGCTGGTACGTCATTCCACGATTCGCTGACCCATTCAGACACAGTTTCGAGTGATGCTGCTTTCGTGGCACCTCCCTTCGTGTACTCTTTGACTCCTTCGACCATCCAGTCACACCACTTCTTACGTATTCTGTCTTTAAACGGCTTGTTTAAGCAAACATCTAAAGGCTGAACGATGCTAGTCAGACCACCTGGTATTACGGCAATGTCAGTATTGTTCAAACGTAGTTTTCGCTTTACGGATTCCACAAGATGTGCACTGAATGAGTCCCACACCAGAAGACTTTTTGTTCTGGACAAACCACCAGGTCTTGCATTCCACACTTTCTCTATCCATAGTTTGACTCCATCTTCGTCCATCCATCCTTTGGGGTGACAATGAATAACTACACTGGAAGGGAAGCGTCCTTTAGGCAAAGTTTTTCGTTTGAAAATTATTATGGGTTTCAGCTTCGTACCATCAGCAAGACAACTCAGCACCACGGTGAATCTTGTTTTTTCATGGCCAGTCGTTTTAACGACGACAGTTTTTTCTCCTTTGTTTGTGATTGTTTTTGCCGTGGGCATATCAAACCAAACTGGGGTTTCGTCCATGTTTCCGATTTGTGAAACATCATATTCCTCGCATTTCCGTTTCTTGATGATAAAGGATTGGAAATTTACGATTTTCTCCTCCAGATCCTCGGGTAGTTTCTGTGCAATCTTTGTTTTTTGGCGAAGCACAAGATCGTGTCGTTTTAAGAAGCGTGAAACCCAATTCACTGTCCCTTTGAAATCCACAATGTTCATATTCTTGGCAATTGACAGGGCACGCAGACGAATCATGTTTCTTGTAACAATGTAACCAGACTTTCGTTGATCTTCTATCCAGGTGACTAGTTCGTTTTCCAGCTCTGGCCACTGACAGGTTTTCCCTCGATCAGCACATTTTGACTTCGGCATTTGAGATAGCTTATCAGCATTCTTTCTCCAGTCTCTAACCAGCTTCTCGTTCACATTATACTTCCTGGCGGCCGCACAGTTGTTCGTTTCTTCAGCAAATTTGATGACTAAAAGCTTGTACTTAGCGGAGTATTTCATTCGTTTAGGCATGTTGAGAATCGTTTGAAGAGATATAACTTATAATTGTTGCGAGTTGCTCGTAGTTCTGAAAATTGTTTATAAAGCCGCTCTATTGAATCTGACAACATTAGACCAGAAAGGTGTGATATCACACCTATTGAAAGCAATTGAATGGACTTGTGATATTTTAGCGTCAATAAGCAACGCGTAAACAATCAATTGAAGTTGATTTTTATACCCGGTGTATAAGTCGAGGTCGAATTTTTAGGGTGTAAATTTGGTCAAAAAAGGTCGACTTATACACGGGTAAATACGGTAGTAAAAAGAAGCAATACAATTGTAAGATACAAAATAATATAGTGTAAAGGGTCAAATCAAATACCCTCTCCATTTATACATACCCGAGTAAGTTTGCTTTGGCGAAATGGGGTGTGTTTAGAGTCCAAGTCAAGAGCTCGAATACACTCCTTCAACTAAACAAAACAGAATATTACAGTAATTTCAAAAATATCTGATTCAGTATTTCTAGGGTTACCTTTAGGTAAAAAGTGAACATCAATTCATACAGGAAGTATTGCATTGTTGTAAGATGACAAATCAAATAATTCTGGTTGTTTAGGCACATTAAATTGCAGCTGTGACCATCAACATACAGCTAGAAGGCTCTGGTTAATTTCAGCTCCTTCTACACGAGTTTGTTTGTCTGTGTCAGTCACGTCTGCTGCACGTTCATTTCCAGCCAAATCAATGAATGAAAATCTGTGAATCAAAATTTAAAAAAAAAATATATAAGATGTTAACTTTCAAAAGAACTTCTATCAGATTTGTAATGTGGTACGTTCGTATGCACAAATTTCCCTGGCTTGTAATCTTTTGCATTGAAAACCATGTTTCTGAATCATTTCCAAAAAAGTAAACTTAGAAAAAATAAAAAACATTTTTAAAATTAAAGTTGGAAAACCGTTAATTCTAACCTTTACATTGTAGTCCCTTCCTTTTGAAGACGTATTTGAATAAATATGATGCATCACCACTAATAACAAAGTATTAGTTCAGATGACCAAAAAACAACTGATAACAACTACCTTCCAATGTGTTCTTGTGCATCTATGACCTTAACCTCCAGTTGCAGGATTGCATGTGAACGTGATGAGTCAGCATTCACACCCGTAGCACCAGTGCTCCTAACACTTCCACCATATTCTATCACCTATACAAAAGGCAGATCAGATGCAAGCCACAAAATTCAAATCTATGTGGTAAAGATAGAAGAGTGCTAGAGATTCTGCTTCAACTGAAAGGCTAGTTGGTTTAAGGGACTAATTTGCAGGCACTTGTCTCCTTCTATATTCTAATTATGCTGGCCCACATGTTGCAATACCTCCATAAGTTCCTCTACATTGTGAACACGCTGCTGTGTTAATCCAGTGATGCAGACTTGATGGTTACCATCTTCTCTTGCAAATAACCTGTGATAAAAAGATGAACATCTACATTTGGGCCCCAATTCAGAGTTCACACAGACAGTTTATCCAAGTAGGAATGGGGCAGTGATTGGAGTACTTCCTTCCCACTGGACTTGATTCTCAAACATGGTGCCATGTTGAGCTTAGTTGGTTATCAATTCTTTTTCTTCTACATTTTATCCTCTTTTCTTCCTTCCAAAATAAAATATTCCAATTCCAATTCACCCTGGAATCAATTTGAAAAATTACCAACCACATGGTTACACCACTGCTAATTTCTCCTTAATATTCAATATAATTATTCAATAATATTCACTTCTTGCAGGCAGAGATTCAGCTGGTGATTCCATTGAAGTACGTCACTGCATGCCTTTAATTGTTTAATTAGCACTGAGTACTTACTATTATAATCACGTCTAGTACAAATTGTATGAAATTTGTTTTTGAATCCTTAGCTAAAATTAGATTTACCTTGATCTCTCATTCAAAAGATCAAACAGCTGGCCACAGTAAATCTCATAGAAGCTGATCCACAGACCCATTCCACTGCCATAAGTTCCATTATGCAAGATGGAAAAGATTTCACTGGCTGCCAGCACATAGATTCCTTGTATCTCATTATTGCCTAGCATTGTGTATGTCTTTCCACTTCCAGTACAGCCATAAGCAAAGCACGTGGCCTTACCCCTACAAAACAATAATTACTTGAAAAAAATTAACCCTTTACACCCTAACATCAGTGTCCATATTCTCTATTCTCTTCTCTATACATTTCCTTCAGCACTGACAAGGAGAATTTGTTTAACAATCAGAGGTTCTTAGGTTGGCACTCATTTCCTTTATTCTAATGATCTTATAGAAATCAGATTCAGCAGGATTACTGTAAGGTGAAATAAGCTGCTGATCTCACCCAGGGTTTAAGGTGGCTGTACAGAGTTTTCACGCACACTTTCGCTGGTGCAATTCAGCACATGTACAAGGATTGCAAAAAACAAACATGCCATAAACAGAGCGGTCATTTCATTTACTCAACACGTACCCGCACTATCTGTGCTATTTTTCTCTATGGTTGGCACAGTGTACAGAGGGCTTTAATCTTTTATTACAAAGAAATGTTAGAAAAGTTAATGGTGCAAAGAACCCAGCAATTCTCAGCTTTTTCGTTGTTACCAAAAGAAACCAGTTAAATGCAGCACACGCGTAGTAAATCAAAAAATTGCGATTGAATGGAAAATTACTTTCTCGGAAAATGCTTATTTCTTGAGAACCACTCATTAGAATTTCACGAAATTTGGCACAAAAATACTTTAGGAAATAAGTAACTGGAGTATTGAAAAAATTGATTTTAAACAAAGGAAATTGTAGAAAATCAAGTGAACTTTCAATAAAGGATAATCAAAGATCTCAGTCTGTTAAATTGTCAGCAAAATGGTGTTAACTTGTGAGCATCGTTACAAGCTCGTTGCATGCAAATTATAAAGAAAATCTAATGACTAGATTTTCTACAAAGAAGCAAAACCGATTTAATTGCCTATTTATATCTATTCATGTTGCCATGGCAATGGCACATATGTCAGTTGAACTATCTGATTTGCATGTTCAGTGGTGAGCATAGCAGAGAATTAGAATTCATAAATGTAATTGCAAATTCGCCTCGACTACGCGAGGCAGGAAAAATAGGTCACATGACTTATATTTCAAAAGGAACAATTTATGATGTAACAACATTCGAAGCTGGTTATCAACGGTTGTAAATGTAAGCATCAAGATAAAGCATCGAGATAGCAAATCAAGGGATCCAACTACTCAGAAACACAAATTGTAAGTTACGAAACCATTTGTCGCTTCAACTAAGAAGATTGTAAATAATAATTTATCTCGAAATTATTTAATTTTCAGTTGACTACGGGGTAACCACGAATGTAACGAGCCGTGTTCACTCTTAAAGTCTGACAACTTTGATATCTGGTGGGCTTATCTTCAAAATAAGTAGCACCTTCAACCATACGAGCCAATCACTATCGAAAAAACAAAGTTTGTGTTGTTAACTTGCTTGCTACCAGTTTTGGCAACTGAGAGATCAAGGGTTTTAGAGAAAATGGCGAAAGAAACAAAAGGTATCAAAAACTGTGTTAAGCCACCTTAAAGAGTCAAGGTTGATCCATACATTTGGCCTAATGGTCCATTTGACCCTATAACTCCCAGAAGTGATTAACATGTAACTTCTTCCTATAATGTATCCATAGGTAGAAATTGTTATCTTGATCTTACACCAAATTCTTAATACCATTTTATAAGGATTTGCATAGTAGCAGGAGGGGAGAATTAGCAATCAGATCAGATTACCTGTTGAAAACTGTCTTGATAAGTGGTTTTGCAGTTCTCTCATAGATGTCTTTGTTACTGCAACCTTCATCAAAGGCTTCATCAAACACAAACTGATACTAAAAATACAACAAAAGTCATTGAACACTGACTTCTGAACCCAGAAATTTTTACACTTGGCATACAATTTATGAAGAGAATGAAATAAATTATTACTGTCAGAAATTAGAGAAAAACCTTTTGAATATATTTTGTCAAGTCCACAGCAACTTTAGGAGCACTCAGTTCAACTGTATTGCTTGAAATAACTGTAACAACATCGTCTTCACCACCTTCTAATTCATCCTGGCTCAGAGGTCGCTTGCGAACACAGACTTGAATCCTAGATAAGCTAGGTTCTGCTGTTGAATGGTGCCGTTTGTTTGGAGACTGTTTAGGATTATAGCTAGGAACACCATAATTGTAAAATCCTTGAGTGTTCACAGCATGATCTGCTAATCTAAGATAGGAAGGAACAATTAATAAAGGGAAACTCAATTTGAACCTTTTAAACTCAAACCATACTCTAATCACACTCTTCTTGAGACATTTCCTTTGGCACTGACAGGGAGAATGTGTTTAAGAATCAAAGCCTATTAGGTTGGCGATCGTTTCCGTTATTCTCATGATGTTAATGAATGATTTAGCAATGTTGCTGTAAGGAGAAGTTTCATGCTGGTCACTCTTTGAGTTTAAATGGTCAAATTACCATTAACAGTAGACTGAAAAAAATTTAATCACTATAATTATAAATGCGGAGGCAGCATGGCCTAGTGGTCAGCGCGTCAGACTTGCAATCTGCCGATCCTGGGTTCGAGTCCGGCTTTGACCACAACCTGGATTTGTTTCACGGGATCCCAGTTCAAATCCTTGGTCATGCTTGTAAACAGCTAACTGGTTTGCCTCCAGCCAGTTGGGATTCTTAATAATGTTATGTTCAATTTGAATTATTTGTTTCAGTTGTTTGCTTGGCCCTACTAGCACTAGTGTGCTATAAACACTGCCGCGGGTATATAAAGGTATTTATTTATTTATTATCAGTATTTTGTCTAAGGAGAGACAAGTTCAAATCTGATGATGAATGCTGAAATATTACTCAACAATACCTGGAAAGAGAAGACAGCTTTGCTGTTCCTGAGGTCTTGGGCTGTGCTTTTGATTTTATTTTGACAGCTACAGGACTGTTCTCTGCGACTTCCCTTGGTCTTTTTGCACCTACTTTTTTATCTATGATAATAATTTACAAGTCAAAGTACTCTTTTGACTGGTAAAAGTTATCAATTATATTTGGGAGTTTTTCTTAATAATAATAATAGTAATGACATATTTAACCAGGGTAAACCTGTCAGCAGAAGCTGTTATCAAAAGGTGCCCTGGGAAACAAAAAAATAGCATTCCGCAAATAATAATAAAAGCCCTAAAAACTATTACAATATACATATTAAAAACTATAGGAAAGTATATACATACAAGAGGTATCAAAAGTAAAGTTAAAAGTTAATTGGTATCAGCACAGCTGCTATTAAATGTGAGATACATTCACCTGACCCCAGTTGTTCAGAGGGCGGATGATGCTATCTAATGAATTTCTGTCCGGTAGATGGCATATTTTACCCCAACTGGCAGTAATGAGGTGATCTGATTGGCCGATTTACCATTGTTGAAAGGAGTACAGACAATGCTGCTCACATCAAAGTGTCATGCAACATGTCACACATTGAAAGAATCGTTTTATTTGAAATCAATATTGTAATATTGTACTCTTACCTACAACGTTTGTCACCACAGTAGACAAAATTGATTACAGACTCATTCAACTGCACCTCGTAAGTCCACACTATTTTGACCATTCTGATGATAAATATTGTTGTCGATAAGAGTACAGACCATGCTAAACCACTGGCAATTTGTTATATTTTACTGACACTTATCTGTAGGATAGCATTATAAACCTCTCAGACAACTGGGACCTGGTGGTTACAGTGCTGGACCCCATAAACTGTCAAGGGGACCTGAGTAACAAAGAGTCTTGCAACTGTAAGGAAATATCTTTGTCATGAGTTAATTGTACCTGGCTCCATGATCTGGCCTCGCGAAGTGGGGTACTTGAGTCAATTTTTACTGGGTGTGTGCCACTAGCCTCCCAAAACCCCCAACCCCTTATAGTCTATTCTGGGGCCAATTTCAGACCCAATCTTAGCCACTTTTGGTAAATGTAATTTTGGTAAGACTAACTTAGTCACTTTCTGTCTACGCATCTACCTTAAAAAGCCTTTTAAGTAAGCCATCCTGAAATAAAAAAAAAAAAAAAAGAAAAAAAAAAAAAAAAAACACTCTTCTTATCACCCTACATTCTTAAAATCCTGAAACGTGTGACCACATTCTTAATAAATAAATAATAAATAAATAATTTAGCAATGGACATCCACTGGGTGGCTCTTATTGTCCACTGTAACTCTATTAAAAATGCAACCCACTGTAGTCAATCCAGTCGTGAAAATGGAATTCTATTCAGTGGCAACTCCCTGTTTGCCCATTAATATTGCTGAGAAGTACCCTCTCCCCACAGTCTCTCAAAAACATGCTTTGGAGACCTTGATGTTCTACATCCCCTATTATTTTAAATTACCTTTTTCTTTCACTGTGGCTCCATCTCTTCTCCCTCTACCGGGTAGTTGTCTTTCACTTAGTTGTGGCTGTTTATCTGGTTGCAACGTCTTTATCGATTGTATCAAGTAAAACAGATTCTGCCGGTCCGCCATGGACGAGATACCCAAAGATGGATAATCTTGCATTGTAAGGGAGAGCATCCCATCAACATCAACAATGCCACGCTGTAAAAATTTTCCATGATATTTCTCCAAAGAGACTTGTTGAAGACACTCATAGAGGCTCAAATAATTTGTCATAGTCCTCGCAAATTTGATTTTCTAACTGACTAGGTTTACACGTTCTGACCTTCCTGGTCGATTTTTTCACCATTACTAATCAAATTTACAATTCTCTCCAACACTAGCCGACGGTATGGTTAGCAAATTAAAGAATTATTAGGAATATCAACAACTAAATTAAATCTTCGTCTCCAATAATGATCTGTTTCCAGGTAAACACACTTTTGGCGCGCACCTGTATAAGCGGCCATATTGTTTTCTTCGTAACAACGCTGACCAACAATGACGGTCGGCCACCAATAGCCAAAATACCAAAACAGCCACTGGTGGCAAAAATGCCAAAACTGCCCCTAGCGGCCAAAATGCCAAAACGGCCACTAGTGGCCAAAAAGCCTACCCTGCCGCTAGTGGCCAAAATGCCAAAACAGCCACTAGTGGCCAAAATGCCATGACGGCCACATGTGGCCAAAATGCCAACATGGCCGCCACTAGTAGCCAAAATAACAAAATGGCCTAAACTGGCAAAAATGCCAAAACTGCCACTTGTGGCTAAAATGCCAAACCAGCCACTAGTGGCCAAAATACCAAAATGGCCACTAGTGACCAAAATGCCGAAACTGCCAGTAGTGGCCAAAATTCGACAACGGCCACTAGTGGCCAAAATAACAAAACAGCCACTAGTGGTTAAAATGCCAAAACGAGTACTAGTGGCCAAAATGCCAAAACTGCCACTAGTGGCGAAAATGCCAAAACTGCCACTGGTGGTCAAAATTCTTAAACTGCCACTAGTGGCCAAAATGCCAAAATGGCCACTAGTGGCCATTTCGCCAAAACGAGCACTAGTGGCCAAAATGCCCAAACTGCCACTTGTGGCCAAATTGCCAAAACGGCTAGTAGTGGCCAAAATGCCAAAAGGAGAGTAGTGGCCAAAATGCCAAAAGGGCTAGTAGTGATCAAAATGCCAAAAGGGGCACTAGTCGCCAAAATGCCAAAACTCACTGCCAGTAGTGGCGAAAATGCCAAAACGGCCACTGGTGGCGAAAAGGCCTAGACTGCCACTATTGGCCGAAATTTTAAAACTGCCACTAGTGCTGAAAAAACTGCCAAAGTGCTGAAACGGCCAGTAGTGGCCAAAAGGCCTGAACTGCCACTAGCGCATAGGGCTAAAATGCCAAAACAGCCAGTAGTGGCCAAAATGCCAAAACAGCCAGTAGTGGCCAAAGTGCAAAACTGCCAGTAGTGACTAGAATGGAAACCAGGCCACTGCTGGCCAAAATACCAAAACCGCCACTGGTGGCGAAAATGCCAAAACTGCAACGCAAAAGTTTCATTTTCTCGGCGGTCGTTGGCTAGATTTTTCTAATATTTAAAACATGTCATTCAAAGTGCATAAATTCGAGATATTGTTGTAAAAAGGTTCTACGGAATGATACGCTTTTCGTCACACTCCCGCCATACAAGCAGTAGTGGCCAAAAGGCGTAAAAGGCCAATAGTGGCCAAAAGCGCGTTACGGCCACTTATGGCTGAAAGTGCAAAATAGCCGCTTAAGGTCAAAATTGCAAAATGGCTAGTGGTGGCCAAAATTCGAAAACGGCCATTAGTGGCTAAAATCCCAAAAGTTCTACTAGTGGCCAAAATGGGAAAACGGCCACTATTGCTCAAAATGCCAAGACAGCCACTAGTGGCCAAAATCGCAAGACGGACATTAGTGGGCAAAATATTTAAACGGCCACTACCGGCCAGAATCCCCAAATGGCCAGTAATGGTTATTATTATATGCTTCGTAGCGTACAAATAACGTGCGAGACGAGCACAAATATCACGCGATATTTGTACTCCAGAAATATCCGCTCGCAGTGAAATAACAATTTGGCGTGTTGGATAAAAATCTCTTATTAGACCTTTTGTTATGTAGTATCGCTGAGTATTTTTGCTCGTTGTTTGTATTTTGACCCGCCCTACGAGCTCGTCACAATACGGCACAACTCGTAAAAAATACTCAGCGATACTACACAACAAAACGTCTAATAAGATATATGAATCCCCAGACGGCCACTAGTGGCCAAAATCTTAAAATGGTCACAAAGTGGCTGTGGTTGTCGTGGTGGTAGTGTCCATCAAGTGATGCGCTGGCTGCTAAAAAGAGATGACACTCATAATAGTACACATCATATAGAAAATCGTCTTTTAATACATTCGTATTTAAAAACACGGGAATAGCATAAGGTGCGTGGACATCATTATTTATATACCTGATGAACTACACTTTTGAAAGATATTTACACTGAATATAACTACTGCATTTCTTTTTTGCTTGGTTAACTACAATCATGCAAAACAAATGCACACAAAATGTAAGTACGAATCGACTTAAATTAACCTACATATGCATGAGGCAACTGTTTGCCTGACACATAAAACGCCTTAAGCTTAAACTGTTTTATGATCAACAAGCTTTTTACAACGCGGAAAATCCGCCACTGTTTCCACAGTGAATATCATTTACTCTTCTCTCTTTGGTCATTGCCTGGTCATTGGAGAAATTTAGGAGTCAGTTCTTTGCCGAGGGTTCTCTGACGAGACTCAGCAATTTCTCCACTTTGGCCATTTCGTTTTCAGGACCTTTGGCTTTCTCCTGAAACAAAAAGTAAAGATTTTGTATCAACTTACATGTCAAAAGAAAGTTCTTAAGAACTTCAACGATTGCTTTGCCAGCATCTATAACAGGTGAGAACGAATAACAAAGGCAGAGCGAAAACGGTGTGAACGCTGAGTTATAGTTTAGATCACATTATTCATAACTGGCTGATGCTTATGCCAGAGTACGATTAAGTCAAGTGTTGAAGCGTTTGCAAAGGTTGCAAACTGGTAAAGAAAGTTGTCCTAGAATATGATAGGTTCGACAATCAAAGTTTTCCCCGACAAAGAAAGATAATCAAGGAAGCCAATAGAAAAGGAACAAGACAGATAACTCGCACAGTGTCCAATATATTTAGATTCGTGTTAAGGAGTAAAATATGATATCCGCAAAACGGAATAAGGAACCAGGAGGAATCATACTCTGAGAATTCGATATCTTAATGCTGATGAATTTTTCCTATTGTAAACATCTGTATTCTTGACAACTTAAGAGAAATTATTGAAATAACATGCTAGTCATTCAAGAATCGCACGGAGCCGAGGAAGCGAGGAGAAAAGAAACAAACGAAAAGTTTTAACTGTGGGTCTTACAACACAGGATTCAAGATTAAGTCAAGTTTAAGATAGGAGAGCTTAAGAGAAGTGTCATACGGGTGTGAAGACAATCGGAGGCGGCGACAATGGCTCGTCATCGGAATCAACAGCTTGAGTGAGTACAAGAATTGGTATTTCCTCCTTCAAAGAACGAATCAGTGACACAGTGTGTTAGTACGTTAATGACTGGCGTGCAAACAACGTGCAGAATCCATTAAGGCAAACGTTACAAAGAACAACAAAATTAGTTAGTTCCCAGTCAGATGCAGAGTGCAAGATTCTTCATGCATAGCTAAGTATGCAGGTCACTTGTTCAAAATCAAACGCGCAGAAGAGTTGCTCTTAGAAATTATTCTTTGCATGTGCATTACTCAAACTGCTAACACAGTTGCGTCGATCGTTTTTTCAATTAGGGGTATCTTCGTTCTTTTTCCTTTTTTTTAGTCGTTCGCCTCTATTGTCGCCAGGCAAGTTCATATCGTCTACCGAGGAAAACGATGATACAATTCCCTCCCACGGATCCCGACGAGATTACGGAGGGATTCCTATGCACCCTTCATCGAAGAAGGAAGTCAAATCAAAGAATACTGGTACCTATCCTTAAATCTCTTAAACTGAGATGGAGTTATTTTAACTTTCACTGAGTGAAAGTTGAAGAGGATGATGAAAGTAGCAAATAGCGGCAGAGGACAAGCAACTGGTGGGGTAGTGGAAAAAAGAGGAGGGAGGGTCATCTGGATAAAGGATATGAGAAGAGCACGGGACAGTAACGGTGGTGTAGAACGAGATGAAAGACAACAATGGATGGGACTTCTGGGGGTGAACTGTAGAAGAAGGAGCAGGAGGATGAAGAAGAGAAGAAGCAGGGGACGACGAGGGCAGATCGGTAATAGGTGCGATGAAGGATTTGTATATTAATTTTTTCAAGAAACCCATGGGATAATACTGACTTTCTTAGCTGCACTGATCAATAAATACATTGCTGTACTCTTACTATTTGACATACCTTGGGCTGCGTGGCTTTTCTGAGATTTGGTGACAGCTTCAACGATGTCACATATCCTCTGTGAAGCAAAAAAAAGACAAAATAAATGGAAGCTACTTGATACAGGATCACCTTAGACACGTAGGTTGACAAGTTATGAATAGAGGAACTTTACAATTGCACGCCAAAGTCTTTGAAGATCGTGGACAAGATCTTCGACAATCAATCTTCGACGATCTTTCAGCGAAGACGTCTTAAAGTTGTGCGAAGGGTTTCTACGTAACAACTCTTAAAATAATTAAATTAACAAATTTCCATTACCTGTCATCTCCCACAATAAGCACTGGGTATTCAGGGTTGAAAGCCAAGTGAGTCAGCTTTGTTCTTTTCTTGTTAGCCACTTTAAATAGGAAAACAATTTGGAATTATTCTTTTTACTGCGTGAGAGACTCCATGCCCAGCTGGGTTAGTCTCCAGATCGAGCGGTCTGGGTCATTCTGTTCCCCGCCAGATCATTCTGTTGTGTTCTAGGCAAGTCAGTTTACTCTCAGTGCGAACGTCTCCAACAAAAAAGGGTTACTAGCGAACGGTTAGTAAAACCTGACAAAATACTAGCAGTGGGAGAGGGGTTACCTGTGATGGAATGGGCCCCGTCCTTGAGGAGTAGATAGACTCACTTACAGACTACTAAGCTTTTAAACTTAACTTATCTCCCTGATTTCCGGTTTGTCTGAACAATAAATCAAAGCGTCGTGGTTCACCGTCAGATATTGAACTTACCCGATTGTTCGCTGAGAGGTTCGTACTTGTTCACGTTCAGATCGTACACATACACCTGAAGCAATAATAATGACGTTAATCAACGCTGAGAAATGTTCAGGAAAAAAGCAAGGATATCTTGAGTTGACAACCCATCTCCATCTTCGATTGACTGTCAAACCTAATGTAGGATTGCCGTGATTTTGCTTTGCTTCGTCACTAATGGGTCCAAAACTGTCTTGCACCTCCCTTTCAACCATTTACACGCGCAAA